ATTAGCTTTCTAGCATATCTCTTTATTTCTGGCATCTGGGTATTTCCCTTGTTGTTGTTTTCAATTTTGGAAATGTATTAAATATTTTTTGGGTGTTCTATCTTATACAGTATTTCTTTGTATTTATGATGTTTACCTGGCATTATACCCAGCCAGACACTTTTTAGCAGAGAAAGTCTCAAAGTACAAGAATTTAATAGCATTGTTTTATTTTGATTATATTTAATTTGTATGCATATTTTTAGGCAAGTGATTGTAATTCCCATAAATATTAGTGATATAAGCATTCCTTTCAAAATAAATCTATTTAGCTAAAATAAATCAACTTAAAGAAAAATATTAAATTTGCAAGTGCTAGATGGCTATGATAAAACCATAAAGGTGATATATTAATATTCATGTTTATGGAATAACTTGAGTATTTGATGCCCTTCCTAGCTTTTGTCACCATTTTTTAAAAAAATATGCTTTCATGCTTTAGCAACACAGACAAGAAGATGTGTACCATCAACAGGACCCTAGCTAGTGATGGCGAACCTATGACATGCGTGTCAGAGGTGATATGCGAACTCATTTTTTGGTTGATTTTTCTTTGTTAAATGGCATTTAAATATATAAAATAAATATCAAAAATATACATCTTTGTTTTACTATGGTTGCAAATATCAAAAAATTTCTATATGTGACACGGCACCAGAGTTAAGTTAGGGTTTTCAAAATGCTGACACGTCGAGCTCAAAAGGTTCGCCATCACTGGCCTAGGCTGAGAATGTGGGAAATAGGTTACCCAGGTTAAGATAACAGTATGAATCAGATATTCCCTTTAAAACAAGCGGTAAAGATTAAGAGGTGGTAACAGAGCAACCCAACATCTCAGGAAAAAAACACACACAAAAATTCCTTTCTTGTTCACATATCCAGCGAGCTTTAGTCGGGGGCCTCAGCGCCTCACAGAACTGGGCTACAGCCTGCCAGAGCCGCTCTGTGGCCACCAAGGCACTTTCTCCTAATACTTCTGACTAGAACTGATACCTACCACTCCCTTCCTCATTTCATTTGTCAAAGCAACTCACGTGGTCGCCCTAATTTCACAGGAGAGCAGGAAAGTGCAATTTTACCATGTACCCAAAGGCCGAGACCCAGAAATAGTTGATGAAATAATTGGTTCCTAATGATTTAGAAACCATTCAGTCCACAACGGTTCTGGATCCATCCTCTAGATGGAGACCTGGAGCTGAGCATCTGTTTGGGAGGTCAGCCCTAGTTAGAGTCACACTAGTGTGTTTACAACTCCCTCAGCCGCTTCCTCAGCTAGCTCCAGTCTGTACACAGAAAACCCCAAATTAAGTAGTTGCTATGGCTTGATAAGGAAGAACGTCCCTTCACACCGGACTGATTGGTTACCTAACTGATCCCAAGAGGCTTCCGTTACCAATTGTAAACTTCCATTCTGTTCAATCACCAAGTACTCTGTTTGACCAGTTCGTTTCTACAAATATTTATAGACCTGATGTGCGAATGTGGTTGAAGTATTTACGATCCGTGCAGCTTGGGTTCAACTTTCCCCCTCTGTCCCTGTTCCTAAAATGTCTGCAATATCCACAGGTTTGTGAGAGTGCCTCTGCTCTGATCACCCCTGATCGCAGCCTTCAGCGCTGACCTTCCCCACATAGGCCACATCTGGCTTTCTAGCACCTACTTGACAGGGTCTTTGCTCTGTGTTACAAAGAAATATTGAGAGACAAGAGTTCTACTCACTAAGGTTCAGTGGCGTGTACAGGCTCTGTGGGGATCTGTGCGGTACTGAAATTTTCCCTTACCTGGGTTAGTGCTAAAATGATAGCGACCTTCATTGTTTTGTCCAACCATGACACATGCTTCAGTTAAATCGCTGATCCTGCTATTACGTTAAAAATGAGGGGCGGTGAAACCTTAAATTTACTCAGTGCTTTATAATTTACAGAATACTTCCATGTGTTTTATATTCTCCACAGTCACTGTGATGTTAGGTATTTATTATCACCGTTTAAAATCACAAAAATGGTCAGCTAATTTCCTCAGAGTTAATTAGCTTGTCAGTGCTAACAGTGGAACTATAACCTCATATCTAGGACTCTTCCGGTTGTTTCATGATGTTGCCCATAACTTACAAACAGTAACAAAATTTAAGACTGATACTATCTATTTTAAAAATCCTTATATTTATTTTGCAGTTAAGGTCAGTACCCTTATGTACTCTGTCAGGCTGTTAGTGAGTGGTATGCTATCTTATTTATTTATTTTTTTTAGGTTGACTCGCAGGCAGAAAATAAGGTATTTGTACATATTGGCTATTTTAACCTCGATAATTCAGTATTTATCAAGGTTTTACTTCTAGCAGGTGGTGGAGAAATAACAGTAAAGAAGACAGACATAGTTTCTGTCTTCATGAAGTATCCAGGCTAATGGAGAAGGCAACTATAATAGATGGCAAAAAGAACTACAACAATAATAGATAACATTTTTATTCTTCCAGTGTTATTTGCAGGTATGACACATCCTTCTCTTATTGGTGAGCAAACTGAATAACTTGCCATATGACAAGTGACAGACTAAGATTTGAATCCAGCTGCTCTCAACAGCAGCCTTTTGCCACTTTATTTATTTTTATTTTTTTAGAGAGTGAGAATTTTTTATTTTATTGGTTGGTTACAGAGAGGAAGGGAGAAGGATAGAGAGTTAGAAACATCGATGAGAGAGAAACATCGATCAGCTGCCTCCTGCATACTCCCTACAGGGTATGTGCCCGCAACCAAGGTACATGCCCTTGACCGGAATCGAACCCGGGACCCTTGAGTCTGCAGGCTGACACTCTATCCACTGAGCCAAACCGGTTAGGGCCTTTTGCCACTTTATAGGTACTGCAATGCAGGGTGAATGTCAAGGAGAATACACAGAAAACTTCAGATGACAAGGATCATTGTAAAGAATTCTGAAAAGCATCAGCAGCATGGGAAACCCAGACATCCATTCCTCTGGGTCCCAGGACTTTCAGAACTGGGGCCTAGTGCAGGCTTTTTTTTTTTGCTCACCACTCCCACCTCTACCAACAGACAGTTTGGTCCGCTGCCACCCTGTGTGATGTGTCTGTGTTTGGCACAGATTATCTCAGATTATCTTGTTCCTGTCAATACATTATTGCCTTTGACTCACACGCCAATCTCTTGCTCTCTATTTTTCTGTTAGGGTGCAGGGTTCATTTTAGAGAACATAGAAGTCACAGCAAACATACTGAGAAAGAAACTCCCTGAGGTGGTGTTTTTGAAGGGGTCTGTGGGGTTGATGGGTAAGGACACAGGCATTTACTTCACTCTGAGGAACAGCATTAAGTTATTGGTGATACTCATCATTATTTTAATCCCATTGTCCCATCTCCACCACCAGAGTGAGGCTGGTCTCTTTTGTTCCTCTATATCCTCAGCACATAGTAGACACTCAATACATATTCATTGAATAAACGAAGAAGTACAGTTATCACTAGAGGTGTAGATTTTGTTTTCATCAGAAGGTTATTGATAATTAAGATTTTGACTTGGATCCCAGAGAGTTTGATCATCTACATAAGCCAACTCCAAATGTTTGATAGACCCAGATTGAAGTGGGGAGAAGGCTCAATAAGAGAGAAAGAGAGGGACTAAATTTAGAACTTAACAATAAGGTTTATCATGGTTAAATTTGGATTCGTGTCTACATCACAAGGATTCATCCTGGATGAGTGAAGTTATAGGGGAGCCACCAAGAAGATAAATACATTATTGTGATAAATGAGGATTTACTGAATGAGGGATGGGAGATGAAAATTAGTCAAGAGGGATTGACTGAACAGTGTGGTCAGTTTTCTACAAGGGCATATAAATTTGTCACAATTTTCCTCAGTACTTTTCTAGTGCAGGCTTACACTTGTCTTACCAAGTGGGCTCATATAAATGGCCCTGGGTTCGGCATTGATTAGAGAGAAGAGACGGTAACTCATGACTGGAACCATCTTCACCAATATGTAATTCACAATGAATTTTTAAATTTTAAAGAATTAAAAAAAAAATAACATTGGTTGGTACCTTCTTAGGAATGTTAGGTACTTTACTTCATTGCTTAATCTTTTCAACAACTCATAAGGTAGGTGGTATACTAGTATCCTTATCCTATATAATAAAAGGCTAATATGCAAATCAACCAAACAGTGAACAACTGATCATTATGACGCTCACTGACCACCAAGGAGCAGACGCTCAGTGCAGGAGCTGCCCCCTGGTGGTCAGTGCACTCCCACAGGGGGAGCACCGCTCAGCCAGAAGCCAGGCTCATGGCTAATGAGTGCAGCGGTGGTGGCAGCAGCCTCACCCACCTGCAGCAGTGCTAAGGAGCAGTGAGCTGAGCGGTAAGGAGCAATAAGCAGGTGGGCAGTAAGGAGCAAGGGGTCCCAGACTATGAAAGAGTGCAGGCTGGGCTGAGTGCACGAATTTTGTGCACCAGGCCTCTGGCTTTACAAATAAAGAAAGTGAGACCAGCAGAGAATACTTTTCTGTGCCCGTGTTGTTTAAGGAATCTGCTCAAATTTACACCGAGGAAGAGATATATACAAAGTCAGTTCTATCTTTACTCCAAAGCACATATATTCCTTTCTTATTGAAAAATATATATGAATACCCTCTTAAGTATATTTTATTAGTGCTTTGCTTCTCCTGTTTCTGAGTTTTTTTACGTGGGGTGTGTTTACTTATGTGAGCTGGTAGAGGGGTGACAGGCCACATGTATAGAGTGACACTGATGTCCATGGTTCTCATTCACAGTAACCGAGAAGGTCTTCATTTTAATTTATGGCCTCTTAGCATGGATTCAGTACACGTACTTGATTCATTCCACGTGAATTAAAAATGTTATCCTGGAATCTCAGGGTTTTTCTTTCAAAGAAAAGTAAACCACACACAACTTTGAACATTTTTTGCTTCTCTGTCTTTCAGACCACTGCCAGAGGATGTAGGAATGGACATCCCCTTTGAGCAGGGAATGCTGAGTCCCGGTGCTGCAGACATGAGGCCTGGTGAGAGGAGCATTTGTTTATTTCCTTCAGCGCTATTCTATATTCAAACATTTTCATTATTCAGTGAGAGAACACTTCCTATGCCTCCAACTTGTGAAGAAACGAGGGAAAAATATGTGTGAAGAAGGTGTTAGGCTCAATTTGGTTAATTTCAGGGTTGACTTGAATATTGACGCTCACTAGTGTGGGCCACCTTTTATATTCTGAGCCATGGCCTTATCTGGCAATGTTTCCACTTCCTGTGATAACTGGCTACTGTATAGCATAACAGCAATTTCTAACTAACATCTAAGTTCACCAACTTTATACTTCAGTGTGAGAATGTTTAAATTTAGAAGTGTGATATCAAGTAACCTGGTTATTAAAAAGAAAGAAAGAAAATGAAACCCTATACTCTAAGAGTGTACAACCCAAGGTATATTCAAAAAGGAAGTTAAAATTTTATTTTGCAATCTACATGACTTCCACTTTGTATTAAGGACACTTCTTTGAACTGTACCAGCTTCAGGATCATACCAAGATCCTGAATCCTGACCTTATGCGCCAAGCCTGAAATGGAGTAGGAAGAAGAGACTCAATTTTTTTTTTTTTTTGGTCTAAGCATTTAAGTACATTCTTCAGAATACTAGTCATGTGACTTTTTTTTTTACTGTTAACAATTTTACAGATGATCCAATTCCCCCCTCCCCTCTTTGCTCCCTCCACCCAACCCACACCTCCCCCCAGACCTTTACCACACTATTGTCTGTGTCCATGGCCTATGCATATGTGGCTATTTAAATTAATTAAAGTTAAAATAAATGGGAGAAGTTCAGTTCTTCAGTTACACTAGGTTTATTTCAATTCCTTAACATTTCTATCATTACGAAGATTTCTTCTGGATAGTACTGCTCTGAGAATTTCTATAATATAAAAATCCATTGTTTTTCAAACTTATTGGTAACTAGAAATTTTTTCAAATAATAAAAACATTACACGGGACATAGTTTGGGTGATGTTCTTTCTATACAGAACATCTCAATGGCAAAAAAATGGTGTAAACTTCCTTATGAAAAGACCAGATTTGAATTCCAGAATTGAGAGGTATACCAGATGGCCTTCAAAATACTTTGTGAAAGAGAATCCTGAAATTCTATTTTTAGGAATATTTAATTAGGGTCAACTTGACTAAAAATTACTTCTCCAGTTCTTCTTCTGTTCAGTGAATGACACATTAGTGGCAAGATATACATATTACAATTAAAATGTAGCAGCTACTTCCAGGAGCCTTGACATGAGACCATCCCTTCAGGTATGGGAACCAATGACAAACAATATTGGCATAAGAGGTAATGTAATGACTCCTTAATAAAAAAGAAAAAAAGTAATCTGGGAGGATACTTCAGTTTTATTAAAAAGAAAGAAAGAAAGAATGCCAGCCAAAGAAATACCCCTGCATATTATCCGCAGAGTTGTCAGAAGCTGAAGAAAAGTAATTGAGGACTCTCTGTGAACATAGCAGATAAGGTTCTTACCCTCCATTCCATAGGATTAGCCTGCATGAACCATAATCAGTTATATGTAAGCTTAACTATCTTTCTTATACAACACACACCATAAAATTAAATTTAATATTATATCAGTTTTCAGTTCTGAAATCTGAGCAGGACAGTTCTGAAAACTAGTTTTCTGCCAATTTAGCCATGGCCCCCACTTCCTATTTCTACAGGGCCAAGGCTGATGAGGCTGGGACAAGCCAGCACTGAGGCCACTGGTCAAAAAGGGGGTTCTAAATCCCATAGAAGAATTTTTTTAAGCAGGTCTACCTTCGCTAAAAAGGTTTTAAAAGCGTTTTTCCACTGGGTTCCACGCCCACTCTTGGCAGTCATGTATATGGTCTGATATTTTTATTTTGTTTCTTCTTTAGAACCACCCAATTCACTGGATCTTAATGACACTCATCCTCAGAGAATCAAGCTCACAGCCCCAAATATCAATCTTTCTCTGGACCAGAGTGAAGGGTCTGTTCTCTCAGATGATAACCTGGACAGTCCAGATGAAATCGATATCAATGTGGATGAACTCGACACCCCTGACGAAGCGGATTCTTTTGAGTACACTGGGCATGGTAAGTTGCCAAGTTGGCAAGGCCAACATTATGTGAAAAGTGAAATATTATCTAAGTGGCACTAATAACACACCTCCCATTTTGTTGCTGGTGCCTCTTTTCTGTGATTTCTGGAAGCTTCTATTTGTATCTCAGCTCATAGGTGGCTGTGATTGACAGTTTAGAGCTTGACAAAGGTCACGCATAGCCATTGCTCTTTTGTTAAACTCCTACTCTTCCAGAGCCTCTGCTAGGCATTGGGACTGAGGGAAGGCTGTTACACTCTGTATTGTAAGAAAATTGGGACTGGGTTTGCAGAGAAAAAGAATTTAATCTGGAAGATAAAATTTGAATTAGAGAATTACCCATTTCTCTGTACAAGCTTCCACTGTCTGAAATGTTCTTCTCCCAGATTCTTACATGGCTGTTCCCTTCTCTTTATTCAGATCCCCACCCCCATCATCCAGTCACTCTCTATCCTAGTGCTCATTTTATTTTCCATATCACTAATTGAAATCATGTTATTTAACTAATTGTTTGCATGTTTATTGTCTTTCAGTGGTTCTCAATCTGTGGGTCACGACCCTTTCACAGGGGTCGCCTAAGACCATCGGAAAACACATATATAATTATTGTTTTTGTGATTAATCACTATGCTTTTATTATGTTCAATTTGTAACAATGAAATTAGGGGTCACCACAACATGAGGAATTGTATGAAAGGGTCGCAGCATTAGGAAGGTTGAGAACCACTACACTAGAGTGTCCGATCCATGAAAGCAGGGAATCGATTATGTTTGTTGTTATACGGCCGATAAAGTAAGAAGGAAGGACAAATGGAGTAGGCTGTGGTGAGGCAAGAATAAAAAAGGGAGAAAATAAAAAGTTGTTGCATCAAACACAGACACTCCTAATACGAATATCAGTCTCATTTTAATTCTTTCTCTTGCTCAATGATATGGGGTTTGTTATGGAATCTGATGAACAAAATAAACTAACAAACAAAATAGAAACAGACTCATAGGTATAGAGAACAGACTGACAGCTGTCGGAAGGAAGAGGGGTTGGGAGGCTGAGTGAAAGAGGTGAAGGGATTAAGCAAAAACAAAACAAAACAACAAAAAAACTCTCATAGACACAGATGCAACAGTATGATGATTAGCAGAGGGAAAGGAGGGTTGGGGAAAGTAGAAGAGGGCAAGAGTATGTTTCTACTTTGATCGTTAGTTTTTATAAATTCAATTAAAATAGATAAATAAATAAAATACCTTTGCTTTTTAAAAAATTTGAAATACCATTACTAAATGATGCTCTGACTTTTACAGTCATGTTAATTCCAGCAGTGTCATTCCTAGAGGAACATAATTAGGAAATCCATCAAATTAGTGAATTAGTTCAACCAATGGTCATTGAGCCACCAGGGGCTACAAGGTTGACCAGCACAGACTGAGTTCTTGGCATCACAGAGCGGAAGGCTTTATGTCCTCGAGCTAATAATAAAAAGAAATAAAAAGTTAAAAAAGGAAGTGGGTTAACTACTAGTTCCATAGTTTATGCTGTTTTAAGTAGTGACTTTATATTGCATTTTTGCCATGCTTTTGAATTTCTATAATCGTCTGTGCATTTGACCCTATGGGTTGAAATACACAAATAAGAAAAAAGAGGCCAAAGAAAGGCTTCCATTCATACTATTTTCTACCATCTCAGAGGCTTTTCCCCAGCTACTCCATCCATCCCAGCGACCCCCAGCTGCCCCGGCCCTTTTCCTGCTAAGATATTCTCACATGTGTGAATCATGTCTTGATTTACAATCCCACAGAAGACAGCTGTGGCATGACCCTGCAGGCTCCTCCCACCGCGCCCCCTGCACTTTCCTGTTGCCCCAGGGAGCTATATCACACCACATCTGAAGCTTTTATTTTTATAAATAGTCAAACTGCCAAGCAAAGTGGTAGTGGCTGATCACACTGGTAATTAAAGCTGCCACTTGCTGACACAGTTCTTTTTAGCCAATACAGTTATGCTGAGAGAACCAGTTTAACAGCCACAACCCTACTTTTAGGTCTTAAATTCACAGGACAGAATTTGAATATAACTTGAATGTTAAAGTCCACCCTGATTGTCAGATGAAAGATGAATGTTTAGACACTTTTAAACAAAAACATCAGACACTGAAAACACAAAGTCAATCTGAATAGCTGTATTTTATAAACATGTAGACATGGAGAGCTGACTGTGTTGAAAGGGATGGAATACATTTTAGTCCCAAATTATGAAATCAGTGCTTGAAAGCTGCATGTGTTTTGGGTTTCTTGTGTGAGCTTTTGAAACTGGGCATATACACTCTAAACAAAATTGGAGTTTTTAAGGCACAGTATTCCAAAAGTGTCTGGTCAGTAATTTATTCTATTTAATGAACACTTCCGTAGTGCTTACTATGTGCCAGGATCTGTGCTAGCTACTTTATAAACATTAACTATGTTAATCCTTATGTCAATGCTATGAATAGCTATTTCCCTATTTTAAGATAAGAACACTGAGGCACAGAGAGGTTAAGTAATTTCCCAAAGGTCACACAACTAGTAAATGTCAGAGCCAGCACTTAAGCCCTGAGTTATTGCCCTTGACTCCTGGGCCATCCTGCTTCTCCATAAATATACTGACCATGACTAAGAGAGAGCTGTCTAGGTTGGGCTCACATATCTGAAGCCAACCCTGATAGCACCCCTCGCATTTACTCCCCATTTTATTCAGCCATTTTCATGACTGAGGGTTCTTGCTTGGCCATGTTCTTGAAGGGCATTCAAGTCATTGCCTGTTTTACACAGTAGCTAATGACCAACCATTACTGCCAGTTTATTTTCCCACACCGTGATTTTGCTTAATGAAAAAATTTTGAATTTCACTATCAAAAGATGTTAAATTGGTTTTTACTTCCAAGCAATTTTCTCTTAAAAATTGTGTCCAAATAGTTGGAAAATATCATTCAAAGTACTGATATAATTAAGGTTGGATTTCCTTTGATATTTACAAGTGCCAAAGATATGAGAAATATGTAGGTAGTGAAGGACTTAGGAGGTCAGTCTTTCTATTAAAGGAAGTCTGAGTTTTCTTTTTAATGCTTCATTATACTAATCTTAAAAACTTCAATATATCCAAAGGTCAGAAAAGATGATGACCTATTTCTGTTTTCCAAACCAACTGCAAAGTTATTTTTACCACAATCCATATCTCAGCAAAGGCATTTCATAAGAGAAATGGAAAAATGATAAAGAATTTTAGCCTGAATATTTCTGATAAGAATGTTAAAAAAATATTCCTGTGCTTTTATATTTTTGTTCTTCCTAAGTGATGTTTAGTTACTGTATTTAAGCTACCTTTTCTAAAACTAACCTGTAACTAGAGTTTTCCCTGTGAATAAGGTACCCCGAACTTTTTCAAATGGTCAGGGAGTCACCTCATTTAACTTCCCTGTTTGCTGTCTTCCACTATTTTCACAGCCAGCAGGCAAGCAGCTTATAGAATCAAGTCCATGTTTTAACTCTGCATATAAACTAATCAAGTGTGGAGGTTATTTTATTTGACCCACAAGCAACCTTGTGCTGTAATGGTGTGGTCTGAAAGGTTGATTTTTCTTTGTACTTTTGTATGATGAGTTTTTGCATTTAAATGTATTGCTTGTCTGCTCTTTATCACCATAAAAATGTTAGAAACTTGTTTACTGAGTACAGGATGTCTTTCCTCTAACAAGAAAAAGTTTAAACATAACGTCTTTTAAGGTTATTTACATCATCAGTGCAATATCACAACAGAAACAGCTAGTCACCTTCCCTAGATGTACGTCCCCAACTGAAGGCCACAGCTGACATCATTTCTAATGAGTCCGTAATGACAGCAATGGTGGATTTCTTACTGTAGTCCGTATAGCATTTAAGAGCTTGTGCACTAAATCATTCAGGAGCTTGTGTATTAAGTCATTTCACAAAACATGGGAGAAAAGGTTCAAGTTGACACCTCCCTGTGTACCAGGCTTAGTTGACTTCAACAGTGGCCAGAGAGAAAAATCTGTTACTGAGAAAAAAGAGACAAAGAAAATCAAGCATTTCTTAGTGGAGATGGCATGACACCAATAATGAAATCTGGAGGACCTGGGGAATAGAGAGTTAAATAAGACCTGAAAATTTTCACAATAGTGAGAAAATGATGGCTAGGAGGAGGATGGTAATTTATAGTTATAGCAGAATTGTTATTAAGATCAGGTGGATAGTGCTAATTCAAGGAAGTAAATAAAGCTAGCTTTACTTTTGACTAGCTTATATTGTGGAATTATAAAAATGAACCTTAAGAGATGTACCTCTAGCTCTTAAATAATTTCTTTTGCCCATTTATACCAGCCCTCAGAGGTGGGGAAGGAGAAGGAACCCCGGCAACTGGCCAGCTCTCACCCTCTGAAACATTAGCAATAACATTTCATAAAATAGTCCAGCCTCAAAATTTTATACTAAAATTAGTAATAGTACTGTTGTTTTCTAAAAATAAACTGTAGAAAAATGTGTGTGTGTATACATATTCTTAAAGTAAAGGTGTCCTTTCTTATTATGATGCAACTAGAGGCCTGATGCACGAAATTTGTACGGGGGGGGGGGGTTCCCTCAACCTTTCCTGCACCCTCTCAAAATCCGGGACCCCTTGGGGGATGTCTGACTGCCAGTTTAGGCAGTTGGACATCCCTCTCGCAATCTGGAACTGCTGGCTCCTAGCCCCTCTGCCTGCCTGCCTGATCGCCCCTAACCACTCACCTGCCTGCTTGCCTGATCCCCCCTAACCCCTCTGTCTGTCTGCCTGATCACCCCTAACCACTTGCCTGCCTGCCTGATTGCCCCTAACTGCTTGCCTGCCTGCCTAATCACCCCTAACTGCCTCTGCCTTGGCCCTGGCTTCGTCCAGAAGGTCGTTTGGCTGTCCAGTCTAATTAGCATATTATGCTTTTATTAGTATAGATAATAAAAAAACATAAAGATAAAAATGGATAGAGTCAACAACATAAAATATATTTACATTTAAAAAACACAAATTTAAAAGGAAAGCATAAGGCAAGAAAATAAGTGCAGTACGTGACAAAGTTCTATATAAAGAACTCCCATAAACCAATAAGGACAATAGGTAAGGGACTTAAAAGTGCTTCCCTGTCCGTGAAAGAAATATAAATAGCCAATAAGCACTTAAAAATTCTCACCTTCTTGCCTTGGCCAGTTTTTCTCAGTGGTTAGTGTTGGCCCACAGACTGAAGGGCCCAGGTTCAATTCCTAAGTAAGAACATGTACCTGGGTTGCAGGCTTGATCCCAGCTGGGAGGTAACTGATTGATGTTTCTGTTTCTCTCACATCCATGTTTCTCTCTCCCTTCTCTCTCCCTTCTGCTCTCTCTCTAAAAATCAATGGGGAAAAAAATTATCCTTGGGTGAAGATTGACAAAAAATAAATAAAATGAAAAATTCTCACCTTCTTTAATAATTAAATAAATACAAATTAAAACAATAAAGAGACAGGTTTCACCCTGAATTGTCAGGGGTTAGAAATTTTGATAAGCTCCAGTGTTTTTGACAAAATAAATTTCATATATTTTGGTGCCCTATTTTTCAGGGTAGAAATGTTCATAGAAACCTTCGGTGCTTACACCCTCTGATCCAGCATTCCATTGCTAGACGCTTAACCTATAGCAGAAGGTACCCGAATGAAGTAAGATACCAGTATAAGATATTTACTAAAGCAAATTCTTTCCAAGGAACAAAACCAAAATGAAATAAAGTTAAATTTCTATCCCTATGGGATTGATAAACTAAAAGACATCAGCAGAATGGAACTGGGGCTACTTTTATTTATTGATTGATTGATTTGAGAGAGAGAAAGAGAGAGGAAGGGCAAGAGACATATCAATTGTTCCACTTATTTATGCATTCGCTGGTTGCTTCTTGTATATGCTCTGACTTTTATGCATTCATTGGTTGATTCTTGTATGCACACTGACCGGAAATCAAACTTGAAACCTCAGCATATCAGGACAGTGCTCTAAGCAACTGAGCTACTCGGCCAGGCCTCTAAGGCCACTTTAAAAACGGAGTTTATATACATTGAGACAGAAAGGAGCCTGTGTGATATTATTGAAGAGGACCACATTGTAGAACAGTGTGTAGAGAACATGCAGAATATCTGGAATAATCACACATGTGGAGGGGAAAGGTGTATGTGTGTGCATGCACATAGGAAGAAGAATACATATCAAACAGTGAGTGAGAGTGGCATTAAAGATTTTTGTTGTTTTCATGATCAATTTCATATTGCTTATACTTTTATTGGTGTGTTTTACTTTTGTTGTTATTGTTGTTAATCCTTACCAGAGGATATTTTTCCATTGATTTTTAGAGAGAGTGGGAGAGAGGGAGAGGAAGAGAGAGAGAGAGAGAGAGAGAGAGAGAGAGAGAGAGAAGCATTGATGTGAGAGAAATATATCGGTTGGTTGCCTCCCACACATGCCCCGACCAGGGTCAAGGATTGAACCTGCAACCCAGGCACGTACCTTTGACGGGAAATCGAACCCGAGACCCTAAAGTGTTTGGGCAAACACTCTAAATTCTGAGCACACTGCCCAGGGTGAGTGTGTTTTACTTTTATAATCAGAAAAAAAGAATATAGTGTACAAAACTTTGAAATGAAGTAGCCTCAGTAAAGCATGCAGAAAACAAAACAAGCCCACACTGATCACCCAGGCCAATTTAGAGCTGGCCAAAAAGTCTCAAACAGGATGAAGAGGGTTGGTTGATGGTGAGTTCATTGCAGGGGAGAGCCTGTGTATAGAGCAGCATCAAAAGACAAACCAACAACAGAGCCCAGAGTTCTGCAGGCACAGAGACCAGATGGAAAACAGGGTCCCTGGAAGGGAGCTAAGAGGAGCATCCAAGGGCCTTAACCCAACAGGAAGGGAGAAGCAGGAAGGGATTCCATATGCAGATGGATGGATTTATAGCAGCAACACCGTGCTTGATCTGAAGCCAAAGGCTGCTGCTTTCCATCCTTAGTGAGCTGCTGAGCGCTGGTGGGAACACAGAGGAGGCCGGGAGCGGCAAGGCTCTGTGGGTGGTGGTAGCTGTTGGTGTTGGCAAAAAAGCCTAGGATTGCTTCCCAACTGGACTTCATTTTATTATTCTAAGTCACAGGTAAATTAGACATGTTTGAATGTGTCTTACGGAATCTTCTGGAGCATAATAGCTTTGTTGTGGCTTCCTTACAGATTGCCTATATTTCCAAGAACTTGTCAAAGCTTTATTTACCCACTCACCTTCCCCATTTTTATTGAGTAGTCTGTGCAGGTTTCCAAGCTAAGTGTGAAGATGAATATTAAAGGTAATTCGGGCAGAACTCCTTAGCCCATGGAACTCACAGCCTCATAGTAAAATAAACAAGAATGAGACAATCACACATTTGAGTTACAATGTGATAGCTTAGAAGAGTAGAAAAGGTCAGGGTTTGACTATATTTGTTTTCTGACTCTGTGACCTAAGGTAACTACTTCAGTTAGTTTTTGCATTGGTATCATGTCTAGTATAATACCCACTACTGTGCCTGACACATGGTAGGTACTCAAAGTATTGCTATTATTATCCAAGTCCCATAAAAAGAATATAAGTAAATCAAAGGTCATTTCCTTGAATGGAAAAATAGGATAGCCCGGCTCGTGTGACTCTGTGGTTGAACATTGACCCATGAATGAGGAGGTCACGGTTCTATTCCTAGGCAGGCCACATGCCTGAGTTGTGGGCTCACTCCCCAGTAGAGGATGTGCAGGAGGCAGCTGATTGGTGATTCTCTCTGATCATTGATGTTTTTCTCTCTCTCTCTCTCTCTCTCTCTCTCTCTCACTCTCTCTCTACCTCTCCCTTCCTCTCTCTGAAATCAATAAAAACATATTTTTAAAAGAAAGAAAAAATTGGTAATATCTCACAGAATTATTTTGAAAGTTATCAATAATCGTTTCCTCCAAATTACTTAAACCTATAAAGATTAATCATTGTTAAACTCTGCTAGTACTTGAAGCAAAAACAGAAACCATTGCTGTTTATTCTTTTAAAAAATGTAACATGAGTGCTTTTTCTGGATGCACAAGAGTGGGTAGTAAATTTCTCCCCCAAGATGCTCAGTGGGCTTCTTTTATTGCCTTATGCACCTATAAATAGGAGTCTTGAGAATTTGGGGCCTTGGAACATTTCTGGTCTACAGAGTTACTTTCTTGTGTTTCCTGGGAAATCTTGCTCTAGCATGTTTTGAAAAGTTCATGGGCAGTATATCAAATTTATGTCCAGATATGCTCCAAATAGGGACGGAGGTTCCGCTCCATTGTAAGAGTCTCAGAGCAGGGGTCTAGACCGGGGTGGGCAAACTTTTTTACTCGGGGGCCACAATGGGTTCTTAAACTGGACCGGAGGGCCGGAACAAAAGCATGGATGGAGTGTTTGTGTGAACTAATATAAATTCAAAGTAAACATCATTACATAAAAGGGTATGGTCTCTTTTTTTTGTTTGTTAGTTTTATTCATTTCAAATGGGCCGGATCTGGCCCGCAGGCCGTAGTTCGCCCACGGCTGCCCTAGACTGTGATATCATCAAAAGACTAAGGCCTTGCACACTCAGGATACACCAGGAAATGTGGCCCAAGGAAAACAAGATTATGTGGACCTGATAATAGCCTTTTACCCCATCAGAAAGGCCTGTGGTCTTCACCCTATATGACCAAGGATGAGCTGGTACAGCCTATCCCCTCTTGGGCCACTACGGACAAAGGACAGCTCAAGCCCTGCATCTGTCCCCACCCTCCGCTTGATCTTAGCAATGTATCTGGTTGTTCAGTCAGTGAATCCTCAGACTTCCCTGAGTGTCGTTTATGTGGTCAGGATGGTGCGAAGCGCTGTGATTTGTATAAAATAGGCAGTTCCATCAGGTTGACTCTGACAGGAGGCAGCTGGTTGTTGAATTGACTCAACGGTAAAGGCCTTGCTCCTTCAACGAAGCCTGGCTCTGTGCTTGCTTTCCAGAGAATGCCACGGCCAACAAAGAGTCTGGCCAAGAGTCCGAGTCCATTCCGGAGTATACGGCCGAAGAGGAGCGGGAGGACAACCGGCTGTGGAGGACAGTGGTGATTGGAGAACAAGAGCAGCGGATTGACATGAAGGTCATCGAGCCCTACAGGAGAGTCATTTCTCACGGAGGTAGTCCAGCTCTTTGTGGATCTGGGAACGGGGGAGCGGCCAGCCTTATATTTTTATTAGAAAATGAAACTAGGGCTCTCTGCAGCATGGCACCCCACAGACCCTGTTGGGCAGTCAATGTTTAGGGGAACTGTAGAGCTAAATATATCACTTCACACCCAATTCTATAAACATTGCAAAGCCGACTATGCAAAAATAATTTTCCAATGTGAAAAAATGCTTTTCATATCACAGATCTGATAGTTATCATCTTCTATGCAAATTTTTTTGAAAGCCAGAGTTGTCCAGTTTAATAATGTCTGTTCAGAATTCATTTGGGTTGGTTGTAGGGTTTAATTGAATTGTTTTTGAGTCCATACTACCTTAGCCTGCAATAAGATCACTATAGTAGAGCTGCTTCTAATCACAAAATAGTATTTTGAATCCTCTTCAGAAGCTTTAGGAAATCTTTTTAGACTCAGTCTTGTCATTGTTTCCCCCTCCCTGAAACTGGCTTTTCTCTAAACTCCATTACACCTCTGCCTGACAACAGCCAGTTCCAGCCAAAACCTCCACGTGCTTAGTGAGGGGCAAGGGAGGACAGTGGTGATTGGAGAACAAGTGGTGTTTCGTATTTCCAGTGCTTTCTTGGAGCTTCAGAGCCTGGACTAATCTGGGATTCACAACAAGTCAGATGAGCAACACATTGAACGTGGTCAACTTCAGAAAGCATCGACAGCTTTTTTATTTTTCTGCTGCATGCACTCCTTCCCTGCAGTCCCGAGGCACCCCCCTAACCACTCGGCTGTTCCGGAACAGTGTAAGCTGACAAGGCAAACATTCTTCCCTCTTCCTCATCAAGGACAGGGAAATAAGCATCTTGGGACAACATTAAACTCCTAGCTTTTGTTTTCTAACTGGCAGAAGGACATTTTGTATTTTTCAATCAAATTTCCCTCCACCAGCAAATTTTCCACTTTCCAGCCCATGCATTGCTCCCTGCAGGTAAGTATCTGACCACCCAGGGACTCCAACCATGACAGTGAAGGAAAATGCCAATAGGTGTCCTCAGCCATGACCTTCCTTTTCCCTGCTTCACAGAGTGGCCTGAAATGGCAATATGTCCCCCAGATAGTGCTGTGGGCTGGGGCCATTTCCTCTGAGGGAAACTTTCCCATAGCCCTTCAGAATAGAGCTGGCCTGACCTCCCGGAGGTGACAGACAAGTGGTCATAGAGCCAACCCTTTGGTATGATGAAAACCACAACCTGAACGTCACCCAGATCTTCCCAGAAGGCCATGCCTCCTTTGTACCACCCATCGGGCACAAAGGGGGTATGATTTGTTTGGAAATAAAAAACAAATCAGAGGCTAACTATAAAAGTAGCCTGTGTTCATTCTTAAAAAAGGACAAACAAGTGTAGAACAGTGATAATATTTATACATTTCTACCCCTTGGTCTTAAATGGAGAGCCGTTGGTTGTAATGAAGGCAGGCTCCCTGCTCCGCTGCTCTCCTAACACCTCTTGTCCCTCCAGTACACCCCCCTGCCTGTTCTTTCCACCACAGTAAAAGTATGTGGGTTGTGTGAGTGAGTCTGCTGCCTGAATTAGGAGAAAGTTGTTATCATCAACACAGGAGGGACAGAAAAAGCCCTGCTTCAGCCTGTCACGTCCCCTGGGATATAACTGAGCTGACCCCTCAGGGATGACCTGGTTTGCTGTGCCCTTCATCCCTGCCACCTGTTCCCATTGGCATTAGCTCCTCTTCGTTCTGTTGCTGAGTTCGGTTTTTGTCTGTGTGACTGTCCAGTTTGGAAGACAAGCCCACCTTTCCTACCCCCAGCTCCACCTCGTCTTTCTCTGGGCACTGGCCTGCATGAGTGTGCCTCTGGCTGCACCCATCTAGCACGTTAGCGCGATGCCGCCCCTTCCTATGCCCTGAACAGCTTGTGTGCTCCGTAGGCACAGATCGTTCAGATGTTGCTTCTGAATTTGTCAGAGCTTTGTCTTCTGTGTTGGAAGCTCACACCACTTTCTGAGACCTTAGTGATGAGAAGGCAGCCTTCCTTAGTTACCAGTCTGTGGAGTAGGCCATCCTGGCTTCTGATGAGCATTTAAAAAGCAGCACCCCACCGTGGATGGGGATCTTGTTTTGGTGTCTTGCATTTTGCTATAAGGATGTTTTCCCATTCAGGCCAACAGAGAAGTGCCAGCTGTTGTGCTCTGTGCAATTGCAAGATGAGAGTTGGGGGTGGTTAAAAGAGCTGCATAAATTAACCAGAAACAAGGCCTTACCAGGTGTCCATACTGGTTGGGAATATCAGTGTGGGAGAGCAGTCTTTGAACAAATAATACGGTCCTCTGCTTTAGTGACCTCGATGTGAGCTATTGTCAGAGGCCCTGCACACATTTACAATAACGAGGTTCAAGACCCAATTTTTCCAGGAATTAATTTGTGATCTTGATAATTAATCACATAACTTCTATGGGCTTCAATCACTTCATCAATCATAAGAGGGTGACCAATATTCCTGCCATCTGCTTAAATAAAAAAGCAAAGAGAGGGCTGGGTGGTTTGGATCCGCCAGCAGCGTGGGGTCACTCTGAGGCCAGAACTGGCTTTTTTGAACTTGAAGCAGAGAATATATTTAAATGACCAAAGGCAGTTGTGCCATAGCATTGTAACAAGGAGTTTCCTTTCTTGTTTTTGTTGTGTTTTTTTTTTCACTTCTTTCATTATAGGAGATTCAGGTAACCTTCTCTGCCGTGTTGCTGGACAAATGATCCTGGAAAGAATGAGAAGAGTTACTGGCTGGTGTGTGTGTGTGTGTGTGTGTGTGTGTGTGTGTGTGTGTGAGTGTGATGTTTTGGTTGTGACTGTGGCATCTTTCCTTCTGTCTCCATTCCATTTGCGGGCCAGCAAACTTGTGTTACGTCCCTTTCATGCCTGTCTGTTCTGCCTCAGGTAAGGTTTGCATCACTGCTTCAGTGGGTCTCAGGAGGCACCATGGTGGGATTGCTCACTCACCTCGGCACACATGCTCTGAATTCACCTTACGGCCATTGAGAAGAGAGGCTAATGAAACACACATTTTTAAAACCCAAATTTCAAATGCATCATGCAGTTGCTCACGGGCAACTTCACACGAGGAAGCTGCATATTTAGAATAGAAATCGGGTTAGCCAATCCCCTTGAGGAAATCTGTGAGGGACAAGAGGGAATGGTTCACTCATTCTGGTCATTGCACTTTGTCAGCCGTTGCTATTTACAGTATCTCCAAAGCCTGTCAACAAGGGCACCAGCTCTTGACTTAGACGGAGAACTCTCCTGAGGAGCTCTTTTCCTTCCATTTCCTTTCATACACCTCCTGTTTCCTCCCTCTCTCTTTTCTTCCCTTCCAAGTGTTCAGGTGCCCCAAAGTACAAAAAGCCGTCTTTGTAAATTTTTGTCATTTTTATGTAGAGCCATTCCTGACTTAGACAATGGTCAGGAGGTGGTAAGTTGGCCCTTAAGCATTTGTTTGGTTACATGAACTCCAGTGAACATGACAGCGTTCCAAGGACAGACAGCACGGACACAGATCTGAACTGCCATTTAAGACGACCTCTGAAATACTGTTCATAAACCCCAGGCTTTCATTTTTTGAGAAACTCTTAAAAATTCTTCAGAAATAGAAAAAGAAATCAAAGCAACTGCACAGTCATGATCTTGATGTTATTCTGGCAGCCAGACAGCTACATTTAGAAAGATGCTTTCCAAAGGATGCTTTTGCACCTGCTTTTAAGCTGGATTCATTATGTCTGTAGTCTCTTCTGATGAAGCCACCTTCTTCATTGTGCTGAGTCCGCATTGCATACCTTCATGGGGTAGGATTAGAGTAGCTAAGTCAACTTATCCTTTATGAATTTCCATTTTAAAGCTTCTTAAATAAAATTGTTCTGAGGAACAAATACTTCTTGTATTGAAATATATCACTGTCATTTTCCTTCATATCACATTCTAAAAGTGTGTTGGCAAATGTTGACATATTGGAAAAGATGGAACTAAGGCAAAGAGTCCAGAGGGAAGCTACTGCAATCCTGTTTCACAAACATGTGTTGCATCAGATGTAGATTTACATAGGTAGCATCTTCTGTAAACACTGTATACAACCTCAAATTAGTAATACACATGAACCCATAATTTGATATATTTTTAGATGGTATCACTCTCTTCTCCACCTCTTTTGTGGTAGAATCCCACTCTTTCTTTGTAGAGAACGTCTTATTAAACTGCCTTTCAAAAGTTAAGCCCCATCCAAATCTATATCCAGCCAGTATTTTACTGCCTTGGCATCACCAGAGAGGTATTTAGAGTTCAGAAAGAATGAGACACACTGAGTTCTGAGAGGACTGGATCAGGCGTGAGCGTGTGTCCTGTCCTCCCCCTCAGAGCTTTGAGGAAATCTCTGTAATGATTCTGAAGTTCAGAACTATGTGATACGACAAAAATTGCAAGTGTTTAAAAGGGGATATAAAAACATGACCCTACAGTGCATTGCTTCCATGTTGAAGTTTGGAAGACACGCGAGATCCCATATACAAACCCGTGGGAAACAAACATGACCCTACAGTGCATTGCTTCCATGTTGAAGTTTGGAAGACACGCGAGATCCCATATACAAACCCGTGGGAAACAAACATGACCCTACAGTGCATTGCTTCCATGTTGAAGTTTGGAAGACACGCGAGATCCCATATACAAACCCGTGGGAAACTGATCAACCGCTGCCATGAATTTCAAAGATGAGCTCTAAGGGAACCCAGAGATTGATTAAAGGATGGAGCCGAGCTTTCCAAAGTGGGTAAAATGTCCCGAGATATCTCTGCATTTTCCTTGGCCCTTGGAGTTTCAATAACACACTTGTCTGCATCTCCTGACTCTTATTTTCTCACCACCATCTGCAAATAGAACTCCACCCTCCACCCATGTTGGCAAGAAGTAATTCTCCAGTTTTTTCCAAAGCATCTATTTTCCTAAAACTCCAGACCAACCCTTCTTGAGTTTGCCCTTTCTCTAAGAGACGAGGCTCTGATTTCTGTGCCCAGTTATCTCTACCTGAGAGTGTTTCCCTCACCGACTGTTGCACCTGGAGATCACAGGGAACCAGTCCTCCAAACCAAAGCCAAGGCGGTTACTTGTCTACTCACAAGCATCTGGTCGCTGAAGCCTGTGAGTTGGAGATTGTAGTGGAATTTGGTGACTAAGTTTTCCCTTCAAGTTAAAATTTAAAAGAGCTGAAAATGTGAACTACTCTGGACCTTTTTTTTTATAGCCATGAAAGGAAAAGAAGTATTAGTTCTTAAAATATATAAATTAGAAACCCATAAATCAGAAGGTGTTGCTCCTATCCTTTGATAAGTTGAGTATTTATACACCCAGGCATGACCATGTACAACACATATAATCGTTCATAATATATGGGTAGCCGATATATGCAAATATATTCACACACTATATTTAAGACTCTAGATAACATATATGTTAACCACTGGGAAATAATTATATATGTATATACTTATAAAAGTATAGTCTGTATAATACTCAATTAAAGATATATCTGTTACAACCACATCCACACACTTGCCAAGGCTTCCAGATTTATTCTTTAGGTTAAATATTATCTTGTTAAAGCTTTCAATTGGTTACAAATGTCTTTTTGTTTGTCTCCCAGGATACTATGGGGATGGCCTAAATGCCATCATTGTGTTTGCCGCCTGTTTTCTGCCAGACAGCAGTCGGGCGGATTACCACTATGTCATGGAAAATCTTTTCCTGTGAGTGATACTTACAACAAAGTGCTTTGAGTTAATGTCTGTGGGCATGTATGGCAGATCAGCATCTTTAATAAAAGGAAATAAGTGATGTAGACTGTGCTAAGCCTTTGAGAAAAAAGCCAATGAAATCTCTGTCTAGGAACATTGCTCAAGAGACTAAAACCTTTAAAGTCACTCTTGTCAGTAGAATGGCTTGAAAACTAAACGAACACAGCTTGGCCTGCATTTTAAAATGCTGTAACATTTCCTCTGGGTGAAGTGCTAATATTTGTTCCCCGATAACATGTTCTTAGTCAACAGATGAGAACCTGGCTTCATTTAGATCTGTCCTTATTTAATCTGGGTTGCCCTTAGTATATGATAACATTGTTGACATTTTTGAAAGTTAGGTTTCTTACCCACACATATTTTTAGTGTACCTGCATTAAAAAAAAAAAAAGATAAATGATATTTAAATGAACAGTACTCACTCTCAGAAATGATCTTAGGTAACTGCATTCTTCTCCAGGTGAAGAGGTAATATGCACAACCATTCTCAAATGTTTTACACCCCGTCATTTAAATGTTATCTAATGATGGTGTAGACAAGATGAAGTATTTCATGTGAGAACTGAAAACACTCCTCTTCCTTCCTGTGATCAGATATGTAATAAGTACTTTAGAGTTGATGGTAGCTGAAGATTATATGATTGTGTACTTGAATGGTGCAACCCCAAGACGGAAGATGCCAGGGCTGGGCTGGATGAAGAAATGCTACCAGATGATTGACAGACGGTAGGTGGGCTCCATTATTTAATCCCTAATTTTACTTTCTCAATAATTCCTATTTCTGACTCCCTCTTAGTCTACCCAAGTGCAGTTATATTTTAGGAACATGGAATTATGCAGAGTTGAGATAATAAATGATAACATATTAATCAAAGTGTCACTTGGTGCCCCAGCAAATCCTCCCCCGATTTTGTTAAATGTTGTAGTGTCAGACCTAATGACCAAACTGTGCTTTAAACTCTGCATGTTATTGCCACACCGAGGCGCAATTTGAGCTGCTAAACCAGCATCTACAATTCTCTACTCGTGCCATGTGATCTTGATGCTATTAATGTGCATTGGGTTTATTGTGATTCTGGAAAATGTTGAGCTCTTATTTCAGAATTCACTGTTAATTCATGTTAACCACTAGCCCATAAGGTGCCTTTGGGTGCCCCTCATTCAAGATATTTTACTTTCATTCGTACTGGTTTTAATAGAACAAAACACATTATTGCCATGTACAGGGAAACTGTCATAATAAACATACCAGTTTATGATATCTATGATGGGTGTGGCATCCACTTAGATGTAGCTCCTTACATAACAGCACATGCGTGCCCTGTTACAGTAACTAAAATTCGTTTAATGATCCAAACATTCATAAAGTAGCATTACTAACGCTGAAAAATGTGCCTGAAAGTCAAGAATATTAAAATGGTAACCTGCAGGCCAAACAACCACTTGATATATGGTTTCTGTTTTCACTATATGTAAGAAGACACCAAGGCTCAGAGATCAAATAAATTAAGTTGCTTGTAAAAGTGTACTTTTCAAAATAGTAAGGATAACCCTGACAAAAATGAAAAGCATTGTTAAGCAAAAATATGCCATAATGGTTATAGATTTATGGACTCTGTGAATACAACCACTTTAGTTTACATTTATTCTGCGAAAATAAGGCTTGAATCACAAAAGTTTCAAATTACATATCAAAAAGCATTTTTTATGAATTATGACTATTCTATACTTTCCCTATTGGTAATAGAAACTTGCCTAGAACTCTGTGTATATATTCTTATTTGGGAACATGCTTTCTTTTTTAATTCCCACTAAAAATGGGTTATGAGTAATTGTTTTTCCTTTTTCAAACTAGGTTGCGGAAGAATTTGAAATCATTCATCATTGTTCATCCATCTTGGTTCATCAGAACACTCCTTGCAGTGACACGACCTTTTATAAGGTTTGATTATTATTATAGTAAAAGTAAAAGCATTATTAGTAGATTTTTTAAAAATTAATTGACCTATAAACAAGAATTCATAAACTAAGAGGGTATTTAGGAAGATATTTGCCTCTGCCTTTCCTGGAAAGATACATTAGACTATCCAGTGAGAGACACTAATTAAGAGTGAGCATTATTTCATAATGATTGTTTCACCGCCAATTATTATAAAGCATGATCTCTATGTGAGTTGCTGTAAATATAAAAGATGACAGGGTGGGTTTCCATGTCATCTTACACAAAGGAATAGACAATACTTTTAAAGTGATATATGGTAAAGAGAATAGAAAAGACAGAGTAACATGACAATAGAAAATAAAGACAAAAACCAAGGACAGAAGCAAGAGCCATGTCTTATCTTAATTGTTCTATTTTTCTTGAACAAATATGTGGGTCACCAAAGTTAGGTAAAGAGTCTGGGTAGCCTTGATGACAGCTGTTTTAAATCTCTCATGAGGATTCTCAGTTTCCTTTTGGTTCAATTCAGTGAATATTTTTTCATCATTTATGTTGTCCCACATGCTATATACCCTTACATTTTGGGAATGCACAGAAAAGTAAGATAGATGTCATAACATAGAAAGACTTGGAACAGTTAAATGAAGGAGATAGTATGCATTTTCTAGAGAACTTTAAAAATATAATAAAATAAAGTATTGCCTAACATCAGGATACAGATTAGATAAACTGACATTTTTCTACCTCAGAGTTATTGATGAATCCCTAAGCAAAATTCTGCTAACCTTACTTCTGGAGAAAAAAAATTGAGGTTAAAATTCCCTCCCCCTTTTTTAACATAAATTTTACTGTGCCTTCCAAATTCTACCTTTTTGCTCAGTGTTCACTTATAATTATTTAACATTCCCATTTTCTACTTACGACAATTGAGTGGCATGATTCAATCTAATTTTCCTCTGACAAGGTTAGCTCTTTGCTATGCCATGTCAAATTGCCTTAAAAATAACATGAAATATTTAAAGTATACAAAGAAACATTTATTTTAATAATAGCAGAAAATCCTTTGAAAAGGAGTAGGAATTCATGTACAGTGAATAGCTTATAAAAAGTTTAATGTGTAAAAAGTAAACATTAGAACTGATATGGACTTGATGATTTTTTTAATAATTCAGTCTTTACAAAACAAATATTTCTTGTTGATAAATCACAAAATGTTTATTACTATAAAAATATTGAAAATTGTTAAAATTCAACATTTATTGAAGGGAGTTTCAATACAATAATAATGACTACAACAACAATAGCAAATAGTGTTGTGGTAAATTACATATAATAATGGCTTACATTTATTGATGCTTACGTGCATTATTTCATTTCATCCTCATGACAGTCTTCTGAAGGAAGTACTGTTTACTGTTTTCGTGATACAGGAAAAAACCCTGAGAATCAGTGAGGCCAAATGAATTGTCTAAAGCAGGAGCCAGCAAACCCACTGTGTAAGGGATCAGAGAATAAATATTGTAGGTTTTGTGGGTCGTATCATCTCAGTCACAAGCACCCAACTCCACCATTGTGGGGCAGGAGCAGCCACAGACAATATATAAACAATAAGGATGGCTGTGTTTCAGTACAACTTGATTTATGATACTGAAATTGATTTTTCTAAATATTTTACATCACAAAATATTCTTGTTTTTGATATTTTTTTCCTACCACTTAAAAAATATAAAACCCATTCTTAGCTCTAGAACTGTAAAAAGCAGTTAACAAGTTGACTGTGACCTGTGGGCTGCAGTTTGTCAACCCCAGGTCGAAAGTAACATGTAAGTGAAACTCAGGCTTTGAACCCAGTTATCTGCCTAATTCTGAAGACCACACATTTGTACTTACACATTGTATTTACAGTTCCATCATGTAAGACTCTCTTTTAATATCCCCCTTCTGAATCAATTCACATCAATGTAACCAACTTTTACACCCAAAAGAAGAGGCCACTTAAATGTATTTTGGGTCTATTTTATAGGTTGTTGGTAGTGTGTGTTCACCCAAGTCTTAGCAGGGCTAGAAGTGACTGTATGGAGAGGAAGGTTGCTCACAAGGCAGAGCCAGTGACCCAGGGTCAAAACTGCAAGTAAAATGCTAAAAGGTAACTGCTATGAGAGAGGTATATGACACATTTCTTTCTTTTTCTTTTTTTAAAAATATATTTCATTGATTTTTTACAGAGAGAAAGGGAGAGGGTGTGAGAGAGAAACATCGATCAGCTGCCTCCTGCACATCTCCTACTGGAGATGCGCCCGCAACCAAGGTACATGCCCTTGACTGGAATCGAACCGAGGACCCTTCAGTCTGCAGGCTGACGCTCTATCCACCGAGCCAAACCGGTTTCGGCTATGACACATTTCTTTTCAAAAATGAATAGTCTGTTGTGCCAAGCACTGGGCTAGGTGCTGGAGACTGATGAATTAAATAGCTCGGATGCTGTCCTTAAAGAGGGCAAAGCAGGCAAAGGCATACAATAAACAATTAGAAAGCAGAGTACAATTAAAGCACAATGAGGGGTGATGACTCAAGGTGAGGGGGAGTTCTGGGATCAAAGGTGGAGAAGGCTGAGAGTTGCATTGAGAGAGGAGCTTTCCAGAAGAATGAGCCTTCAAGGTGAGTTTTTTAAAGAATACATTCTTCTTGATTTCAGAGAGAAAGGGAGAGGGAGAGAGAGAGAAACATCAATGATGAGAGAAAATCATTGATCGGCTGGCTGCTTCCTGCTCACCCCACACTGGGGATCCAGCCCGCAACCCCGGGCATGTGTCCTGACCGGGAATCAAAACATGATCTCCTGGTTCATAGGTTGACACCCAACCACTGAGCCACACTGGCTGGGCAAGGTGAATTTTGACCAACTAATAGGATTGGCTCACTAAAACCAGGTAGAGGAAATAGCAGGTACAAATATACCAAGAAGGAGAGGAGGTGGCATGTTTAGAGAACTGTACATTCCAGCGAACGTAACACCGGAGATGGAGGTTTCCCCTTGCGTGCCTACTTCCTCCCACTCACTCCATTCACTCTGTCTTTTATCAAAACCTGAGTCTGGCACAATAATCTGGAGGAAGGAAGAGGTCCAGTGTAGCATATCATTGGTAGCGTGCGTTCACCCAAGACTCATCAGGAGGGCTAGAAGTGACTGTACGGGGAGGAAGTTGCTCACAAGGCACAGCCAGTGACCCGGGGTCAAAACTGCAAGTAAAATGGAAAGATAGATCCATAGAGACATGACCTTGAGAAGCTTCCTGCTAGAATGCACAGTAGTTGAAACAGAAGGAAGTACAGTTGGCAGACAGCTCAGCACAATCCCAATAGACTGGGGAGAAACCATGGTTTCATTTGAAACCATCTGAAAAAATTCAATGCTTGATCAAGTGCCCTTTCAAGTGGAATAATAATGCATTTTTAAAATTAGTTTTCAATTACACCAGTAATAGAGACATGCATTCTTATAAAACATCTAATCATTTAGATGGAAGTGGTTTGTGATTGAAACCCAATCATTGGAACCGGTTTTTAACTTTGGTTCATCTGGAATGAACTCTCAGACTAAAACTTTACAGAAAAATTTTAAAAATATTTAAAATGTAACTAAAACTAAAAACAAAAAAGAAAGAAGAATAAAATGACAAGATTTTTGTTTGTTAAAAACAAATAAACAAATAAGCAAACCATAACCAGTGACAGTGCAGAGTGGCAGGAACCACAGGTGGTCATGTGTATAAATCCAGAGTATAAATCCAGGCTTTACCACTTACTGGTGGTGAGTACTTAACTCCCTGTGTCCCGGTTACCTTATCTTTAAAAAGAGAATAATAAGAGTGCCTACTGCACTAGCCTGTACTAAGAAATAAATGAGATAATTTATATAAACCACTTAGTCTCTGGCACATAGTAACTACTCAGATAATGTATCCTTTCTGCTCAAGAGAGTGCTGGGACAAGGTATTAAATATGCCGGGATTTTCAAGAAGAGGCAGTGACCTTAGGAAGGATGAAGGAGCAACTAATCATAGATTTTTCTTTCCTTCCTTTTTTTTAGTTCAAAATTCAGCAGTAAAATTAAATATGTCAGCAGCTTATCAGAGCTCAGTGGGCTGATCCCAATGGATTGCATCCAGATTCCAGAGAGCATCATCAAGTAAGTCCTGATGGTTCTGAAGATTTGGTAAGAAATATTGCATGTTCGGAAAAAGAGATTGGAAAACAACTCATTTCTTCAGTAGTAGGGAAATGGCATTATCTTATGGTTAAAAGAAATATTAAATATTCTCCAGTAATATATATATCTTAGAACTCAAGATTACTGTTCTGTTCTTTTAGATCCTTTTTCACATAATCTTTCTTTGGAAGTATTGACTAGTGCTCATTTTCACCCTGAATTTTACTATCATTTTGGAGAAAGCATAAATTTAACACAGCACATCTGTTACTTGTGTCTCTGTCTCCCACTCCACACAGACACAATCGGGTGTGAGCATAGCACGGATTTCTTTATCACCTTATATAAAGTTATTTGT